TGGCATGTGGTCACGGGGCGGATCCCTATGCCCCCTCTCTGGAAGGGGCACAGCCTTGGGTGGAAGAGGTGGGGCTGGGGGAGTGTGTGTGTGTGTGTGTGTGTGTGACAGATTTTGTGACAGGTTGAGTGTGGGGCACTGAGAGGGGAGAGTGTGTGTGACTGATTGTGGCACAGAGACAATGTGGCACAGACTGTGTGTGTGACAGTGACACAGTGTGTGTGTGCTGGCTGCTGCTGCGTATGTTTCTGAGAGATGCTATGGGCTGTCTCTTCAAGTCGGTGAAAGCTGTCCTTCTCTGTTGTCTCCCCTCCTCCCCCACTCTGTAGAGACAGGATATGGCCGGTGGAGAGTATATGAGAGAGAGCCCAAGCACTTAATTCTTAGAAACAGGCTCTTAAGACAGGCGCTCCTCTGAGTCACTTACCATCTATGCTGCAGAGTGGAGCTGTTCCATTGTGTCTCCCTCTCCCTGACCCTTGCTCTGCATGGATGGGGTGTCAGGGCAGGAGGACACCCTGATGTTAGCACTCCCCTTCACTTCCCTGCATGGGAGCTGCTGGGCTGCAGGATGGAACAAGATGGCGGGAGGGGCAGCAGAACACACACGGCCAGTGGTAAGTCTGCAGGCTCTGCTAATCAGCAGGGCAGGCTGGATCCTGCCCCTCCCCTCCCCCACTGCAAACCTACCAGCTCTCCCTAACTCCATTCCCTTTCTCCCCTCCCTTCAGATGCAGGCCTGCCCACTGCCCTTCTCCTGGTAGGAAGCCTTGTCTACATTGAAAGCTACCCAAGGTTGACACCAAGGGCATACGAGCCATTTGAACAGCAAGTGTAATCAGGACAAGCTGTGTTCAGCAGTGTTTGGAAGCTGGGGTTCAAACCATCCATCCCTTCCTTGGTCTGATGTGAACAGAGCCAGTTGGGGGCACATGGCTGTTAAACAGAGCATGGCATGCTCCTCTTTTGGGTTCCCAGCTTCTCACTCTGCTGAAGTTTCAGAAGTGGGAAAAGTGGACTAACCCAGAGTGGGGTCAGGGGGAAATGGTGGCAAATTATATGAGGCTGTTAGGACAGCAGAGGAAAATCCTAAATACCCAAATGCTCCCATTTCTTGCAAGAATCTTAAGATCAGGCCTTACACTTGACCTGAATGGTAGAGCAACCAGGCTTAAAAAACCTGCGTCCTTCATCTTGGACCATTTACTGTAGTGGCAGGCAATGGGTGTTTGCTGACTGAGGAGAATGAACCAAATACTGTCAACACAGTTGTGCCAACCCCTGGGACAGTTTTGATGTAAAAAGAAAACCAGGTGGTTTCAAACCCTGATGTGAAAGGTGCTAATATTTCCACTTTAAAAAAAAATAATTCTGAAATTGTATTTTCCACAGGCTGGGCAGAACAGGGTGTTTGGGGAATTTTTTTTTGTTCATTTTTTATCACAATGTAAACCGACCCTTGCACTGGAGAAATCCAGCCTGGCAGCTGCCGAAGGAGAGTGAGAAAGTGAAACCGACTAGTTTCACTGCCCCAAAGGCAGACCGTGCAAAAAAGAAAATGGGGTCTGTGATGTCAATAGATTTCCTGTTTCACTGAGACACTTTAGAACCTTACTCATTAAGGCCTAGTCAGAAGACCAGTGTTGGACTGATGTAACTGTATCAGTTAGGAGATGATGTTTTCACCTAAGTAGTTTAGGCCAGTCCATAATTTACTGTGGACACAGATTACAAAGAGTAACTATTGTGGTCTAATGGATCTTTATATCATTATGACTGCGTTTGCACTTGAAGGTGTTCTCATGCTTTAATTACACCAGTATAGCTAGGGACACAACTTTTGGAAATTCCATAAAAGCCCTTGGTTAAGCTGTATCTACAGCAGAAATTTATCTCAACTGTGCTATCATTGTGGCTGCTTTCCAGTAATGCACAACCCCAGGAAACTGTGAATAGATTGAGATAACAACTGATGCAATAGATCAGTGTTTCTCAACCAGTGGTATGAGTATCCTTAGGGGTACTCAAGAGAAGTTTGGGAGGTACGTCAACACAACTGAAATTTGGAGAAAACGGAATTTTTGTTTTATGTTTTACAGCTCTTTATTATTTTTGTACTTTTTACACCTCAAAATTTCATTGCCCGCCTGGCTATGTTTAAGTTTTCTAAGAAATGTGTTGCAATGGTAGAAAACAAAATTGTGTCTGAAAACTGTAGGTACGGTTTCATATATATATTTTTTTAAAGGAGGGTACTTATATATATATATATAAAAGTTGAGAAACACTGCAATAGATTCTGAATCAACATTGTGCTGTCTTCATAACATGTCCTGTGTTCTCTCTCCTGGTTTCCCACATCACGGCTGGGCACAAAACATGTACTGTCTTCTGAAAAATTGCTTCATTTTTGGTATAAGGGAAATGGATGCAAGAAGGAACAAAAGCAAAGTTTATTTTTGACAGCACACTGTGTGCATCTCTTCTGTTACAGGCAGGTAGCAGCTCTGGGGACAAAATGGGCAATCTCTACAGACAAGCAGAGTGCTTAGCAATACAAAGATGCAGTACGCACAAAAATGCATTACTGCTTCATAGCTACATATACCAGACTTATGAGAGCTTGTCCCAGAGCTAGACTGGGGTTTCACCAAATGTCCCACCTTGGATTGGTTGACTTTCACTTGTTAGAGCCTTATTCAGTGCCCTTCATTGGAACATAATTCTGTGCAAGTCTTAAACTGGCTGTGTTATGAAATAGGAATGTTAAATTTCGATTAACTAATCGAATAGTCGATGGGATTTCCATTAATCAATAAGGACTAGCGCGGTGCTCTGACTTTGAAATGTACAAGATCTTGTGCATTTCAAAGATCGAAATGAGTCCGGGGCCAGTGGAGAGCTCCCTGAGCCCCGCTGCTGGCCCTAGGCTCCATATGGCGCTTCCACTTTGAAATGTACAAGAGCCCCAGAAGGGAGGGACTCTTGTACATTTCAAAGGTGGAACGCCGCCACTGCGCCCCTACCTCCTCCCACAGAGCTGGAGCTTGGGGGAACCCGCTTTTAAGCCGCCTCCCCCCAGCACCTGCTCCTCTTCCACTCCTTTGTGCCTCTTTCTGTTAGAGGCAGCAAGTGGCGGGGAAGTGACTGGTCAACTAGTATGTCTGCTATCTGATAAGCTTTTGCTTATCTGATAGTCGATAAGTCGCTTGCATCCCTATTACAGAAGTGAATCAAAGAGCTAGAAAACTGGGACCGCTGGTTGTGGTACCTGTCTGTGAAGTGTCAATATTGACGCCAGTCGGTGCCAAAAGGGGAAAGCGGGAAATAGCATCCTGCCTGCATTGACGCACTTATTTGTTCACAGCAGACACTGAAACTCCTGTAAGAATGGATTTCATTTTCACAGCTCAAAGCCAGCGACTATGGCTCCTAACCGTCCCCACATAGAGCAGGGGTGGGGAACCTCAGGCCTGGGGGCCAGATGCCTGGATCCGGCTCCTGAGGCTTAGGGCTCTCCCTGCCTGCCCAGCGTTTTGAAGCTCACAGGGCTGGGCACACAAAATGTAGTAGCCTGGGCCCTCCTGGGGAGGGTGTTTTTCTCCTTCTCTCTTGGAGGCCATGTCAGTGAGGATGTGGGTGGTATGGGTGTGTTTTTGTTTTTTTTCTTGTTGTGTGCACAGCCCTCTCCTGATTTTTCTGTGGGTCACAGGCCCCCGACCCAAAACAGGTTCCCCACCCCTGACAGGAGTTAGTATTTACACAGTCGGGAGCTCTCCCAGGCAGGTGCCGTGTCCTTCTTTATGTTGGTCAGGAGCCCAGGCCTGATTGGGTCAGCTAAGCCATCTAATGCAAATGTTTGCTGACAAGTATAATAAACTCGGTCAAACTGGGAGGGGAAAAACTATTTACCACTTTAAAGACTAACAAGATGGTTTAAAAGGTGATGAACTTTCATCACCAGAAGAGACCAGAATAGGATCTGAGGAAGCAAGTCTGGCCCACGAAAGCTCATCACTTATTAAACCATCTTGTTAGTCTTTAAAGTGCTACATAGTTTTTCCTTTTGTTTTAGCAAGATCAGACTAACAGGGCTACCTCTCTATTATTGTTAAACTGGGAGTGTGTGTGTGTGATGAGGCTTCCTGTGCTAATGCAGTGTTATTGTCCTGTGCAGCCAGCCCCGCCCCCACAGAGGCAGTTCTAGCCCATTGGGGGAATGTTTTGGGGTCCCCCACATACAACACATACTAAAAAAGTCTTGACCTGCTTGGGGCCCTAAGCAATCGCTCAGTCTGCTCGTGTCTAGCACCAGGTCTGCCACTCCCCTTACTTAGTGCTGGTGCCATTGTTTTCCCCCCTCCCCCCTGAGATCCGGTCTTCCTGGTTGATAGAAGCCACCTGGCTTTCCCAGCATCCATGTCCTCGGCTGTGTTTGATGAAGGCCGTTGTAGTGACTAATTAGGGCTGAAGCAACAGAGCTGAGATGGCTCCTGGGGGAGGGCGAGGGCGGGAACTGTTGGGAGAGGAATCCCGGTGAAAGGGCCCAGCTCAAAGAACCAGCACCCAGGCTACGTAGCCGCTTCCCCCCCCCGAAAATATGCAAATGAAGTGCTAATTTGCATATATCACAATCTCACTTGCATATCCTCTGCCAATCCTTTTTGCAGCAGAGGTTTTGCTGTTAAAAAGCCCCATATGGATGGGGCCATTTATTTGGGAAAAAACCCTTTTGTGCAAGAGCATCATTTTTTGAGGAATAAGAGCTCTTGTGCAAAAGGTTTTTTCCCAACAAATGGCCCCATCTACACAGGGCTTTTTAACGGCAAAACCTCTTCCACAAAAAGGATCAGAAGAGGATATGCAAATTAATGCGTCATTTGCCTATCTTCTGCCGAAAAAAAGCCGCAATGTAGACATAGCCCCGGAGTTGTGTTTTGCAGCGTCATATTCTGTGAGAGCGTGGCTTGACATTTCCCTTCTCTTCTCTCGTCCTCTAGGTTCCCTGCGTCCTTGTCTCCTCCTGCAGGATGCTGAGGGCGGTGCTGTGCGCCGTCTTTCTCTTCGGCGCCCTGCCATCATTGGCCAGGGAATCCCGAGGCCATGTCTCAGTGGTCCTGCTGGGCGCCACGGGGGACCTGGCCAAGAAGTACTTGTGGCAGGGGCTGTTCCAGCTCTACCTGGAGCAGGTGAGCAGTGGACACAGCTTCACTTTCCACGGGGCCGCACTGACAGCGCACGAGCCAGGGCAGAGGCAGATGTTCGAGGTGTTGAAGAAGCTGGCCTGCCCCTCGGACGTGTCCCCCGACAGGTGTGCTGTGGTCAAGGACCAGTTCCTCAAGCTGAGCCGGTACTACCAGCTGAAGACGGCCGAGAACTACACTGCCTTGAACAGGGAGATTGAGACACTACTCCAGCAGGAGGGACTGGAGGAAGCCGGCAGGATCTTCTACTTCTCCGTGCCGCCGTTTGCCTATGCGGAGATCGCCCGCCACATCAATAGCAGCTGCAGGCCGCGCCCTGGCGCCTGGCTACGGGTGGTGCTGGAGAAGCCTTTTGGCCATGACCACAAGTCAGCCCAGCAGCTGGCCATCGAGCTAAGGACCTTCTTCCGGGAAGAGGAGATGTACCGGGTAGATCACTACCTGGGCAAACAGGTGAGCAGACTTGGAATACTCTGTGGTCAGGCTGTGTGGGGTCTCGGTGGGGCAGGAGCTCGGACGGTGGCAGGGCTCTGTGTTTCAGCCTTTCATCTGGTGCGGGCAGCAGGCTGCCGGCTGCACCAGTCGCAGCCCAACTGAGCTGCTCGCCGAGATTGCTGGGACAGTGAAGAGATCTGGAGCCCATTACGTCTCGTTATCCCTGTTCATTTGGCTGGTTCCTTTTCCAGGAAGCTCAGGCCTGGAAGCGAACACAGCTAGCGGTGGCCAGTGTTCCCTGCAAGCTGAGCATGTGGGTGGCCTCCCAGAAGAGAGTCAAATGCTGCCCAGCTGAGTAGCAGAGCACTCACTGCCGGCAGCATGTGTTTCTATGGACGGTACACGTCCGCACATGCCTCGGTGCACATAAGAAAACTTATTCTGCACTTGGATGGAAAAAATTAGAGGGAACATTGGCTGTGACCCAGGGAGGCTCTCTTGGTTCCTGTTCATCTGGCTGTCTTCTGAACCAAAGGCCACATTGGCTTCTCCTCACACATTAATACTATTGGTCTTCACCCAGCTGCGTAAGGGATCCAGGGCTTATATTTAGCATCAGTAAAATAAATCCTAGAAAGACTGGCTGGTAGGCTGAGCATATGGGTTATAAAGGGAAGACAGGGAAGAGGAGAGGGGTTCAGATCGCAATTTCCACCCTTCTCTTGGGTCTGGAAACATGACCGGGTTTTAAACATGCTGGGCAGAACCTTGAGCCTTTCCCTCGAAATCTGGCTGGGTCCTTATCTTACAAATAAATGGCTGGTGCAATAATTGTAAATGTATCTGTGCCTGTCACTCGCATGCCATGGCCTGGTGTGTGGACATCACTCCTAGGCCAGGATGTCACATTCCCACCAGACCTATGGAGTTGGAGGAGCTGGTTGGTGGCTTCATTGCTCCCACGTTTCCTCGGAGCCAATGCTAGCTGCCTGCACTCTGCATGTCTCTCCTGGGTGACCTCACAGTGCCATACGCAAAGGAGAAGGCAAGGTGCCGGGACCTGAGGAGTCGAGAGTCTGTTGTAGATCAGGGCAATACAAACGGTTAAGGACCAGGTGCAAGAGTAGCCAAAGGTGGTCATTGTGGACTCTGATTTTCTCCCTGCTCCGACCCCGACCAGTGCTGAAGGACTTAGCGCTGCAGACATCCTTAGGCGGCTTCTTTCTGCCTGTAGGCAAGAAGGTTCAATCCCACCAATGCATTTTGTGCTCTTGGCTCCCAGTTTTTCACCCGACTGGACTGTCCTTTGCTTAGTACCAGGCAAGCAGGTTGGCCATGTGGCACAGCCACTGTGGGTCCAGATTTGTAGCATCATTTCCCAGTTTTGCCTCCTAACCGCACAGGGACACCTTGGTGACATCCTCTCTGTGCCTCAGCTTCTCCATCTGCAAACGAGGATGGTCCCTGCAGATTAGGGATGTAAACGGATAAGCATAAGCTCATTGGATATTCAACTAATGATGCGACTAGTCACTTCCATCCCCCTTGCTGCCTCTATCAGAAAGAGACAGCAAAGGGAAGGGAGGGGAGGGATGCTTCAAAGTGGCAGCACTGCATGGAGCTCGGGACCAGGCCCTAGGCTCCATGTGGCACTGCTGCTTTGAAACACCACAGGAAGCATGGGGCCAGTGGGGGACCGTTTGAGTCCCCCGCCCGCCCCGTGTGCCCCACAGCGCTTTCGTCTCTGAAGTGTAGTAACAGCACTGGGGCTGTTGCTACACTTCAAAGGCAGAGGCGCCCTTATCAACTAATCGAATAGTCGATGCAAATTTAATTGACTCGTCTATTAACCAGTTAATCTAAATTTAACATCCCTAGTCCCTGCCTGCAAGTGGGGTCTGGAGACTAATTGCGTGGAGCTCTCACAATGCATCTGGAACGTGCCCTGGAGCCTGAGGGTTCATCTCCCCTTGGGTTCCCAGGCAGAGCATGTTTCAAACCCTCCCCTTGCCAAAGGGCGTGTGTCCAGCCCACTATTGCTTGCTGCTGTGACCAGTTACTCTTCTCCTGAGGCTACTGCTGGCCCATCTCTCAGCGAGGTGGGCAAGAGGGAGGAAAATGCGCAGACAAGAGGCAGGACCTTTTCATGCCAAAATGTGATCAGGGTCAGGCTTGAGGGCGGCCGTGTGGGGGGGATGTTTGTGAGATGCAGAATCCATCTGGTCTTCCAGGCAAGGTCAGGGCTTGCATTTCGCTGAGTAAGCAAACCCTGCCCTTCCACGCAGGCCCAGCCTGCTAGCACCAGCTTTTAGAGGAGGCTTTTATTTTGATGAAATGTGCTGTCGCTTTTTTTTTTTTTTTTTAAATGATCAGCCAGTTTTTCAGGGGCTGGCGCATGTGTGCAAGTGATTGCAGCAGGGACAGAGTGGGGAGGGGGTTTGACAGGCAGCGAACGTAGGCCTGCGGCAGAAGAAGTCACATTTCTCTTGCTCTAGCTGAAAGTGTGTGGGGGCAGGAAAGGGGTTCATCACTTGAGTCTTTTGAGAATCAGGACTGTTCCCTCACACCCACCTCCGGGAGAGCCTACCCCCCAACCATGACCTATCTCTCTGGGGTCCAACCCATTCTGAAGCAGCAGCCACTATAGTGGCTACTGCTGTAACGAACTACCACACTCAAATGGCCACATGTGACTAGTATGTTGAGCACCAGACCTATGTGCTCTGTACTTTTTTACTTTGTTTATCCTTTTTGCCTGCACCAGATATTGCCCAATCCAGCAGTACAGGCCTACTTGGTCAGTTCCCCTAATAGGAATGCAGCTAACACATAATCCAGGGTGATGGCATCTGCCACACCAGGAGCAGTGTTCCCTATAAGCTGTGCGCTTGGGTGGCCACCCAGGTGAGATTCAAATGCCATCCAGATGATTAGCCGGGCACCCACAGCTGTCAGCATGTTTCTACCAGTGGTGCACCTCTGCACATGCTTTGGTGCACATAAAATTTATTCTGCACATTGATGGAAAAAATTGGAGGGACATTGACTGGGAGACATCTTTCTCTCCCTGTCAAGCCTACATAGCCAGAGGCTCAACAGCACTTCTCTAGCAGTGGGTTCATGGAGCTGGTTTCTCTCTCAGTTCTAGTAAGGGACTAAGAGGCGATCCCCATTCTGCCCCACCTCATCTTTTGGGCTGTAAACATGCAGTGCGGGGGCGATAGGTGATCGGGATCCATCCATGAACTAGGAAATCGTGTTAACTTCACACTGGAGAGCCAGTTCAAAGACACAGTGCTTTAAATTTCCCATTTTTGTCCTTGGTTTTCCCTGCCTTCAAGGAGCTCCAAATTATCCCCCTTTCTGCTATCCCTGTAACCACTAGTATGGGAACAACTTTTGTGCAGTGGTTAGCTTTACACAGGAGTTTTCCTGACTGTTTTGCTCTTTGTGGGTTTTTAAGCAGGACTAGCTCTGATAGGGGAGGTGAGCTACTTACATGAAGGAGGTAAGTGTTCAGCTATCTGCATATTGGCCCAAGGTTGCCCGGAGGGGCATTGTCAGAGCCAGGAACAGGGTCCAGGTCTCCTGACTCCCAGCCCTTTGTTCCTTGGTGGATCAGGTTGCTGAAGACCTCTAGTGGCCTTTCCTCTTCCCATGCCATCCAGCCTTCCTTGCCAGCCAATAAGGTGTCACTTTGCCTAGCCGCGGAGCGGCCAAGCTGAAGTTTCACTCTTGCCCTGGAACACACGGCTTTGAGGCAGGCCTCTGCCCTGTTCAGCTCCAGGTATGGCCTCCGTGCCCCCCGTAACACAGTGTGACTCATTATGGGGGCGCCTCCTGCTGGTCACTCTGGGAATTAGATTCTTGGTCCTGGAGCACCCCCTTCTGGCTGGTATCTCTGCAGTCTAGGGTCCTCCCACTCTGAGAACCCCCAACCCCCTATGCTCTCCTTGCCTCAATGACCCACTGCCAGTTTTCATTTAGCCCCTTACCTCGGGCAAACTACAGTCTGAAGTGGCCACTCATCATTGGCAAGGGGGTTTGGACCTGCTGCCTTTGTCTATCTCTGCAGCCTTAGTCCACTCGGGCCTTGCTTCAGGCCCTGCAGCCTGGGAGCTTGCCTGGCCAGAGCTTCCCCAACTCTGCCTGCCTTTCCCCAGTCCTGCTCTAACGACAGCCCTAGTATTCTCAGGCCTTGTCTCGGGCCCAGCAGCCTGGACGTGAGGTCTGGCCAGAGCTCCGGAGGTTTGTCTGTCTGTCTGTCTGCCTCTCCCCAGCACTGCTCTGTGTCAGGAAGTCAGGTCCCTCCTGCTCCCCAGCAAGAGCGCATCTGTCTCCACCCTTCCAGGAGCCTTTATATGGCCCTCAGATGGGCCCTAGTTGGCTCATACTGGCCACAGGTGCTGACTCCACAGCTCCACCCCTCTCCCAGGGCTAGGTTTGCCTGGGGCCACGCCTACATTTAAACTGCAGACCCACAGCAGGAGTGGTGGGGGGTTAATGAGTGCCCCCCAATCGACTACTCAATTAGCTAATTAATCGCTACTTAATCTCCCTACTCATGCCAGGCTTTTCTTGTGCTGACTTCCTCCTCCCCCTGTGTGCTCCTCACACCCCTGGCAGGGTTGCATTTCTGTGAGGGATGGAGCAGTGGGGTGGGAGATGCTTAGTAATGCTGTTGGCTTTGGGGTTTTGTTTTTCACTCTGCTTTTTCCCTTCCTTCCTCCTTTCTTTCCCAGGCGGTGGCCCATATCCTGCCTTTCCGAGACCAGAACCGACGCTTTCTGGACCCAATCTGGAACCGGCATCATGTGGAGCGAGTCGAGATTGTTCTGAAGGAGACTCTGGATGCCAAAGGTCAGGGAGCCTGGGTGGAACTTGCTGCAGGGAATCTCTCAGGACGTGGGTGGCTGTAGTGTGTCGCTGTGAGAGCGACCCCTGTGGCTGCACGTTGCAAACGCAAGTACAGGCGGCTTAGTAGCTGAGCTGTGTCACTTTGTACAGGTGTGAGGGAGGGGAAATTAGATTGCCAGTCAGGGCTGTTACCCCCTTGGGCTGGACGTAGCAGGGGGAGGGGTACTTGGCCCTCTTGCATTTGGGATGAGACGAGCATTTGGTCCTGACTCTTGCTACCACCCTTGACTGGCATTGCTGTCCCATGCAGATCTCAGCTGGAGGGAGAACCTGCCCCCGTTGCAGAGTTCCGGGGGCCTTTTGTGTTAATGCTCAGAGCCCAGAGACCCTGAGTTCTTCTGAGGGGAGGGGGACTCCAAAAGGGCCAGGCTTGAATTCCAGTCTCATTCGGTGCTGCAGCTGCCAGAGACCCCTCCAGAGTGGGGGCAGCTCCACCAGGTCCTGGCGGCTGACACAGAGGCTGCAGCAGTGATGCTGCCAATGCATCCCTCTTCCTTTCTCTCCTCCCAGGCTTGCTGCCCTCCTGCCATGAAGGTTTCAATCTGGGTTAGCTTGCTGCAGCACGGGGGGGACTAGGGGTGCTGGTGGGGGACTGGGAGTGCTGGTGGGAGGCCAAGTGGCTGGGGGCACTGGCAGGGAGCTAGGGGTGCTGGTGGGAGGCAGGGGGCGCTGATGGGGGGGGCTGGCAGGAGGTGGGGGTACTGACACGGCGGCATCTCTGAGCCTGTCGGAGGGAGGGCTGAGCTCCGTGCGGCTGGCGCTGCATGGCAGCTGAAGGTGCTTGGCTGCAGTGCTCCAGCCCCATGCTGCAGTGCTGAGCCCACAGTGCTCTGCGTTGGGCTGCCGCCAGCAGCAGTTCTGGGGACGTCAGGCGCCCTTTATTCTGCAGCCTCAGGATTGTGTCTCCGCTCCCTTTCCTGCTCCCTCCCCCGCCCCCCATGCAGTGTCAAATCAGGTAACGATGCTAAAGCCCATTTGACGTCTCCCCTCCACCGGGCAGCTTGGCTTCCAGCGAGTCTGCAGCATTGGCTGCGTTAAGGGAAGTGCCTTTGCATTAGTGAGAGGGAGACAAGCTGTATCAAACCAAGGCGGAAGCCGGGGCAGGGGCTCAGTCTGCAGCCAGCCCCTGACCAGCGGACCAGAGGCTGTGGTTTGAATCCCCTGCCTTTCATAGGTCATTGTCCTTTTCCCTCCCAGCCCCAGGAAGAAAGCTGCCCAGGGCAAAGCACACCCTGTTCTGAAGCTGACCTCTCCTGCCCTTGAGGGCAGGGCTTCAGTTGCTGGCACAGTGGAGTATTTCGCCACTCAGAGTGGTCTGTGCATTGAGGGGGGAATGGAAGGGTCCCAGTGTCGTGCAGACGGCTGCTGCTCTGCAGACCTGGTCCCTTGCTGCAGAATTGCGAGGGGTAACTGGGTTTTCTCTGATCCCTGTGTTAAGGCTTTGATGTGGATTCACACCTCAGCTAGGTGTGTGGATTCACACCTGGGAGATGTGGCCATCGGTGGGGGGGTGAAAGAGATGCCCAGCACTGCACGGTCTTGTGTTCCTTTCCCAGTGCGCAGGTTGGACGTGTGAACTGTGGTCAAGCAAAGCCCCCCTCCAACCACCACTGTGCTCGGGAAACCCCAGGCAAGGCAGTAACTAGGGTTGTCTTAGGTCAGGGTTGGTGCTTGAGATTTTGCTGCCTCCTCTCTGCACCCTTCCACACACACACAGCTCCCCAACCTACCCAGCCCCCACTCTCCTCTTCCCTCCTCCACGACAGTCCCTCTTAGTGCACCGGTGAGGGCAGCTGGTCTCTTGGGCATCCCTTATCAGCTGCAGTAGCTTCTACGGATGTGAAAGACTAGTCGACTATCTGATTAGCAAATGCTGATCAGATAGTCCACAGGCTGGTTGACTAGTCGCTTCCCACCCCCCTTGCTGCCTCTATCAGAAAGAGGCAGCGGCGGGGGCAGGGGAAGGGGGTACCTCAAGGCGGCAGTGCCACCTAGGGCCAGACCCTGGGCTCCATGTGGCATTGCCACTTTGAAACACTGCATATCCCCAGGCTGCTGGAATATCCCCAGGCTGCACGCGACATTTCAAAGCGGCAGCCCTGCACGGAGCCCAGGATCAGCTGGAGTCCCTAGCTGATCCCCGGCTCCAAGCAGCACTTTCACCTTTGAAGTGTAATAACAGCCGTAGTAGCTCTATCGACTAGTCAGTGCAAAATGCGTCGACTATTCGATTAGCCAGTTAGTCGTTATTTAACATCCTTAGTGGCTTCTCGTGGGAGGCCCCACTGGCACTGCTGCGGGCGAAGGGGTTTGCTGGGCTGAAATGAGTCGCTGAGGTGCCCGCCGAGGCAGCTGGCGTCATGTCTAGTCTGGGGCTACAGAGGGCTCCATCGCTGGGATGCTCCCTTTCTTCCCTCAGGCAGCAATTATTAAGCTCCTTTTACAAGCTGGGGGGTTTTGCTCGGCTGCCACTCTGAGTGCTCGTCTCTTGCCCCTTTGTCCCACGCAGGCCGCACCAGCTTCTACGAGCAGTACGGCGTCCTCCGCGACGTCCTCCAGAACCACCTCACCGAGGCGCTGCTCTATCTTGCCATGGAGCTGCCGGCCAACGTCAGCAGCGCCGAAGAGATTCTCCGGCACAAGCTGCAGACCTTCAAGTCCTTGCAGGGCCTGGAGAGCACCAGTGCGGTGCTGGGTCAGTACCAGGCCTACGCCAGCCAGGTGCGGGAGGAGCTGCAGAAGCCCCAGGACTACGTCACCATGACACCAACCTTTGCAGGTGGAGGCTTAGCCCCAGGCTGACGACTTCAAAAAGGCTGGGGGAGGGGGGCAGGGTCTGGTCTAGTGGCCAGAGCATGGGACTGGGCCACAGGGAGCATCCAGATCCTAATCCCAGCACTGTCACTTCCTCTGGGGCTGTGTGCCAATTCACTTACCTTCTGTCTCTGCTTCCACAGCGGCAACGCAGGGATGGTAGCTGCCTTGTGTATTTCTAGAGCGTCTGTCCCTGAGGGTTTTCAAACTGTCTGGCCTCCCAGGGATCGTTCGCCAGCCAAGCCACTGGTGGAACTATTAGTATAAATGTCCGAGAGTTGTTTGTAGGAATTCATTCTGTAGTGGTGCAGCGCCGTCCCGTCAGTCTATGGGGAAAGCGGGGGTGGCGGGTATAATAGGTGGAGGAAGGCATGACCTTCCCAAACCACCAGCCTGGCCCCATCCATACTGCGCCCCCAAAGTAGACGTACTGGTGGTGAAGTGTTGCTGCCCCTGAGTGCCCGCCCTCTCTGTGCTCTGGCGCCGGGGAGGCTGTGGCTATGCGCCACGCTGCCCCACCCGCCTGCAATGTTGGGGGGCGACTGACTTTCAAGGGGGAGGGCAGGGATGGGGGCTTGCCTCCCCCAGTCCTGTGTTCACCCACCGCCCATGGGGGAGGGCCGCTCCATGTGCCGAAAGGTAAGATGGGAGTGTTCTCAGGGCCAGTGCATCTGAGTTCATCTCTGGCCGTGCGGCGTGTGCCCGGTGTTTGAATACCTGGCAAGGGAGCGATGTGACAGCTCGTCCAGAGAAGCTGCTCTCCTAGGGGCTAGCTAGGGAAGCTGAGGAACCTGGTGAGCCAGTCGGGAGGGAGCCAGGCAAAAGCTGGAGGACCAGGAGAGCAGAGACGGGGCAGGACAATGGGGAGGGCTGATGGTGGTGCAAGGCAGGCTACAGATCCCAGAATTCATGGGGCCCCCACAAGGAGAACAGTGCTTGGGCTCAGACCTGCACTTCCCCTCTCATTTCAGGTGTGTTGATTCAGCTAGACAGCCTGCGCTGGGAGGGAGTCCCCTTCATCCTCACTTCCGGCAAAGCCCTAGACGAGCGGGTGGGCTACGTCCGCGTCCTCTTCAAGAACCGGGCCTACTGCACCCAGCGCGAAAGCTGGAGGGAGGCGGGACGGAGCCAGTGTGGCACCAAGCAAATCGTCTTCTACATCGGGCATGGGGAGCTGAACAGCCCTGCCGTGCTGGTCAGCCGGAACCTCTTTAAGCCCGTCATGCCAGAGGGCAGCTGGAAGGAGGTGGCAGATCACCCGCAGCTGCACCTCTTCGGGCACCCGCTGTCTGATTACTACGTGTACAGCCCTGTGCAGGAGAGAGAGGCGTACTCCGTCCTCATCTCCAGCATCTTCCACGGCAGGAAGGACTCTTTCATCACCACTGAGAACCTGCTGGCGTCTTGGGAGTTCTGGACCCCGTTGCTGGAGAGCGTAACCCAAAGGGCCCCGCGCCTGTACCCGGGGGGCCTGGAGAACCAGCACCTCCTGGACTTTGAAATGACAGGCAGGGAGCTGTCCTTCCTGCTGGAGGAGCCAGTGGAACTGCTGCATGCCAAGACGCAAGCACCCAGCGACTACAAAACCATCCAGGCCAAGTTTCGGCAAAGCCCCTTGGTCTCAGCGTGGCCGGAGGAACTGATTGTCCGGTTGGCTTCGAGCGGTGAGTTCCACCTGGCCCTGTCCGGCGGCTCGAGCCCCATTGTCCTGTTCCAGCGTCTGGCGATGCACCACTATGGCTTCCCGTGGAGACACACCCACTTGTGGCTGGTGGACGAGCGCTGCGTGCCGCTCACCGACACAGAGTCCAACTTCCGCAGCTTGCACGACCACCTCCTCCGGCACGTCCAAGTGCCCTACCTCCACATCCACCCCATGCCGGTGCACCTCAACCGGCGCCTGTGTGTGGAGGAGGACCGAGGGCCGGAGCTGTACGCCAAGGAGATCGCCGCCCTAGTGAGCAACGCCAGCTTGGACTTTGTGCTGCTAGGGCTGGGCTCCGACGGGCACACGGCCGCAGCTTGCACGACCACCTCCTCCGGCACGTCCAAGTGCCCTACCTCCACATCCACCCCATGCCGGTGCACCTCAACCGGCGCCTGTGTGTGGAGGAGGACCGAGGGCCGGAGCTGTACGCCAAGGAGATCGCCGCCCTAGTGAGCAACGCCAGCTTGGACTTTGTGCTGCTAGGGCTGGGCTCCGACGGGCACACGGCTTCGCTCTTCCCACGCTCGGCCAGTGGCCTCGCAGGGGCCCAGATGGTGGTGCTCACGGAGAGCCCCAACAAACCCCACCAGAGGATGAGCCTCAGCCTGCCGCTCCTCAACAAAGCCAGGCAGGTGGCCGTGCTGGTGATGGGGAAGGGCAAGCACGAAATCGCCACCCAGATCAGTCGAGTGGGGCAGGAGCCTGGAAAATGGCCTATTTCAGGGGTCATGCCCAGCTCTGGCCAGCTGGTGTGGTACATGGATTATGACGCTTTGTTTGGATGACCTCTCGGTTTCCTCGCCCCTCGGGTCTGTCTCGTTGCCCCTTGGAGCCTGGATTTTCCAACAATGCGCACACGTGCCTGTGTTTTCTATAATAGCAGCGCCTGCTCTGAACAGTCCCTCTAACTTACATGAAGAACCATTGCCTGCAGCCGCTCTGTCATCTGAGCCTAGGAAGGGGGGCGGCTCAGATCAGCATTGCATTCCTGACTCTGCCGTCACAGCGCCACTCGGTGCCTCAGTTTCCCCCACACATTATGGTGTTAATAATGCCTACTTCCCTCGCGGGAGCCACCAGAGACAACTCTGGTCAGTTGCCTGCGGAGCTTTTCAGGAGTCTCGGAGGAGAGGAGCGGAGAGAAGCGCGGTGCTACCGACTGTTAATGTTCACCTCGCAGGAGGCAGGCTGCCCCAGTCACTTTCACGGTGGCCAAAGGCCCAGTCACAGTCCCATTCCAACTGTGTTAGAATCCCGTATGTGCCAGCCCTTTGCTTCAGCAAAATACTGACCATTTTCCTCACTCTCTTCCTCCGTGAAGCTCTCCTAGTCTGCTGTTTTCTGATGCGGTTCCTGTTTTAGATCTCTCCCCTACTGGCAGGCCTGGGACTCTGCTTCCTTGGTAGGACAACTGATGTGTGGCCCTGACCCCAATTCAGCAAAACGCCAAAGAATTTGCTTATCGATAGGACTGAAGCGTGAGCTCGCCTGAATCGGGTCTAGTCATGGGTGGTAAATACAGTATCCGCCCTGTTAATACCTGCAAAGGGATACTGCTGTAGTCTGTCAGCCCCATGGCATGCTGGGGAGCAGTCACTCGCTCTTGCAAGCTTTTCAAGAGGGGTAGCCATGCCTGGCTGAAGTCCTTGGGCACTGGAGTTCTCCAGACCCTGCCTACTCGCCTTATTGTCTCTCATTAACGTTTGTCAGTTGCATTGGCCCCATTCATTGGGGTTGAGAGTGGGGGAATCGATTAGTTCCCTTCCCCGTTGCTCTGTTTATGCAGCCCTGGAAGCTGCAAGCAGCCAGGGACTATCCCTCGTTGACCAGTACTGTCCGCTCCCCAGCACCGTGCCGAGTGCCAGTTTGAGGATTTAGAAATTGCCTTCTGCATGGGTGCGGTTTACCCACTGCAATTTCTGCTCTTCCTAAGTGGGAAGCCAGCACCACAGGGGATGCAAAGGGCAAGGGCTATTTAGGGTTTCGAGATTATGGGGCTTGCACTGAACATCACAGCTCAGCTCTGGTTTTTCTGAAGGTGTCATTTCACCGTGCCGAGTGCCAGTTTGAGGATTTAGAAATTGCCTTCTGCATGGGTGCGGTTTACCCACTGCAATTTCTGCTCTTCCTAAGTGGGAAGCCAGCACCACAGGGGATGCAAAGGGCAAGGGCTATTTAGGGTTTCGAGATTATGGGGCTTGCACTGAACATCACAGCTCAGCTCTGGTTTTTCTGAAGGTGTCATTTC